ATATGTACATATATATGTATGTATGTATAATTTGTTATTTTATAGCCATATTGGAAAAGAAAGGTTTTGGCATGTGCTTGATCCTAGACCATGATGCAGTCTCCCAACAATAATTTACTTTCAAAACCATCTAAATTATTCTGTGACTTGAGAAATCAGACTTTCTGGAGTACAAGATGTGTCCCAGTATTTATAAATTTTAATTATGTTCCTATGTTTCAGACAGGATAGGTAATTGGTTGTTTTTATGGGTTTTGTGGCATTTTTTTTCCTCTGTAACTTCCCACCCTACTAAGAAGTTAGATAAGATCCTGTGCTCTCTTGACTTCGGAATGAGTACTCCAGGACTGTAAACAGAAGCTGCCTGAAAACAATGAATCTTTCTATCCTTTGTGAAAATCTAAACCCATTCTAGGATCAGGCTAACAATTTTAGAGAGGTAAAGGAAAGATGCCAATACCTTTCAAATAAGAAAGGAGATATAAGGGAGACCAGCCCTTTCTCTAAGGCTGGGTTTGGGCGAGAAAACATGGCGACTCTGTGTTATCAGAAGGAAAACACCACCCTAGAAAGCACATACCTTTGCAATGGCGAGAACAGATTCCCATTTTTCTAGTTGGTGCAGACCTTTACCAACTAAGAAAGAGCACAGGGACCTAGTTAACTTCTTAACCATCTAAGAGAGAGTGAGAGGAGTAAGCTAAGCCCCGTCTTATTGATTTCTGTTTGGATGTTTGGCTTAGATGTGCAGCATGCACACACAGTGGATTGCATTTGTCATTGCAGCCTCATCAGATACGGGATCAGAGAAAATGTCTTCAAGAAAGCAGGATGTTGACTGTTACACCAGCGTCCAGTGATACTCTATAGCATCATTGCTAATGTTTTCGTTTAACGCATTCATCAGTATTAATAGGAAATTTAGAGAGTCTGCATTACAGACATTACACTGTCTTAACCCAGAAATCCATTTTGGAAATTTTACTAGATAATCACGCAAGTTATTTCTTTACTAAAAACAATGTAAGTTCACTCATTTCGCAACTAGTGTTCCAATTATTGTACCCTGGGGATTTTGATGTAAAGAGATAATTGAGTGATGACACAGAGTGGCTGAGGCCATTGAAAGAAGGTTTTCATTACTGCATTTCTCAGGAGAAGGGGGCATGACATGCCAGGCAGGGCACATGGAAGACACCAGGCTTTGGTCAGCAGGCAGAAGTAGAGGTGGTCTGGGGGAGAGCCTAAGCCAAATCCTTTATGGGGATTTCTGCAGGAAAGGCAGACAGGGCAGAGCAAACTGTTTAGGGTTGGCTAGTTTGAATAATTCTGTCTTCTGTCAGGCTTTGGACCATAGGGAGGACTTTTGCTTCTAAGTACCAGGGTTGATTTAGGGCAAGAGAAATATTGATTTGGTGTTTGAGGGTTAGATAAAGAGGTGGTTGGGGCCATAGCTGCCTGAAGATTGGTTGGTTTGCATGTGAAAGACGTTCTCCCAGCTAAGCCCTTTGCTATGTCTAAGAATTGGCTGGCCCTGGAAGGGGAAGACTTTTTGAGGCCAGCAAGCTTTTTAAGATGTCAAAACAACATAAAATGCAGAAAATAAAAAATATGATTAAGACAAGGAGAAATATGGAGATTAAGTATGTTTTTAAAAAATTTAAAAATTGGTTAAAAAAGACAAGTAGAAATAGAAATATGTGTTTTTTAACTCTTGAGGCATAACCTGACAATTAAAATACTTTCCAGAAAGACAGAAAACAGTGGTAAAAGCTTACCACAAGCTTAGATAATTATAATCATTAGCATCTAAACTACTACTTTTTTTCTTTAATATTATTTAGGGTGTAAATAAACCACTCTATATGATGCTTCCCATAAGGAATTTTTTAATGTATTATGAACAGTGTTTGAATTTTGTGCTATGATAAGATATATTGGACATAAGCATCTTTGATTTAATATTAATGCTAGAGAAAAGTCAAATTAACAAACTAACATGATTATATTTACAACCATTCCACTTGAAGAGACCTGAAATGATCAGGGAAAATATTTAATTTTTTTTGGAAGGTTTTTTTTTTTTTTTATTGGAGTTTTGTTTTTTTTCCCACCATTGGTTAAGGGCAAAATTAATTAATTAATTAAAGGGCCGGGTTTTCTTAAGGGAAAAAAGGGGAAAACATTCCACCTCTCTGTTACTACTCTGATAACTTCTGGGAGAAATTCTTACCATTTCCAAGTTTGAGATCTGTTCATTTATCTACATTAGTCTGATCACCTTTAAACCACTAAGAAAAAAAATTAAAACTTTGTAGGATTTGTAGAATCTACAAATGCATACATGTGTATGAAGAATTTCTATATGTCAGAAAGCAAAACAATAATGGCTGAGTGAAAAAAACAGGAAAATTGTAAAAGAATTACTAGAGAGTTTAGGTAGAATCAACTAAACTCAGGAGAACAGAACTACTATAAAGGCACTCAAAGTTACAGGGGATGATAACGTGGTCATGACAGGCAGTCGATTCCCTTTGTAAGATTTCCAGCGTTGTTACTGGAAACAGTTAAATTCTGCAGCAATTAATAGTTTTGGAATTATCTAGATGAGATCGTTCTAATATCTAAAATAGTTCTTTCAAGACAAAACTTTCTATCAATTCTCTTTCATGACATAACTCTTAAGTCATGGGTAAGGTTTTCACATAATTATTTGGGTCTTCAAGATCTCTGCTTTCTAAATTATAACTTTGAAGCATATTAATAATGTAGGTACTCATGTGGTTCTTTGGCTAATGGAATTGCAACAAAAATGCTATCCCCAAATCATCTCATTTGCACCAAGGGTCATAAACTCAAATAACTGAGCGTATTAATAGAAAACATGAAAAGTGTGATTAGGACAACAGGTAAACCATTTGTATCTGTACCAAATGTAACACTCACTTAACTTCACTGTATGGGCCAAACCAAAATCTCCCAAGGCCACTTGTCACCAGCTCACAACCTCTGCTTTATACACCACCTGCATCATAGAAGCTACAAGGAAGGTTAATAGCAATGAGCAATCCTTCATCTCTGAGAATTATATAATCCTAGAAGAGAGTAATGAGGTTTCTAATGCAGGGTCTGGACTCAAAATGTCAACTGTCACATAAAATAATGGTGAAGGAACATGTGAGGATATTCACATATGTTTATTTGAATGGCTTCTTTATTTGATAGTATCGATAAGAATGTTTAATTAGCCTTTTCAAACCTCTGCTTTTACCAGGAGCAGTAAATTGAGTGAGTAGTCTTGTCCTTTGAATAGGTAAGCCTTAAAATAAGAACAATGCAAGAATTGAAGTGTTTAATCCTCTGCATTAAGAGAATTTATGATTGCAGTTAATGGAATGTAATAAACATCACTGCAATGGAAAAGCATTACTAATATGTACTATTTTTAAGCTAACATTAATTCATTCAACAAATACTATTTGAGTACCCTGCTATATGCCAGATACTTGTTCAGGGTGTTGGAAAATCAAATTGAGAAAGAACTCCTTGAGAAGCTCATTGAAGAAGTTTATAAATTCAACTATTTGTATTTTAAACAACAACTATTAAAAATAAGCTCATATAGAATCAAATTTAGTTTTGTAAAGAATCTTCAATAATTGTGTTTTTTTTACTATTCTCTCACAAACCACATTTGTGACCTTAGGCCTTTAATACATAATCTCTTTTTGTTCATTTTCTGATTTTTAAAAGAGATAACAGTA